CCCCGCCACTGACAGAATTATTTACTTGCAGATTAATAATATCCATTCAAATATAATCATATAACATTTACCCTGCAATATATGGTTGAAGTCCAACAACATCAACAACAACAAAAAAATAAAAATAAAAAAATAAATCCTACACCTCTTTATACAAACTGTCACTGCAAGAAATACCCAGATAGGAAAACCGCGAAGAAGAAAAGGAGCGAGCCGTAAATGAGCAAGCTCTTCTGTCCCGATGTCATCGAATTGCCCCCTAATCCATACTTCTGATTTTGAACAAACCCAGCAATCTCTACTCGCTTGGGGTTGAAGTACGTCCGAGGAGCACCGCAAATTGGACATGCCCAATCAGAAGGAAGACTAGTAAACGGCATGCCAGGTGGAATAGGATAAGATGCATCACCCATGACCTCAATATACTCATAGCCACACGATCGGCACTCGTAATCACCGGTGTTCACGACAGCAAATGATTCCGCCTCTCGTTCAGCTTCCCTTGACAAGACCCCTCCTACCGCACTCACACCCCCCTCCACAGCCTCCCCCTCCACACTCACGACCCCCTCAGAAGTAGCAGAGGAGATGGGAGGTGGGGGGGAAGAAAGGGGGGCAGATGTGACACCCATGTCGACATCATCGGAGGCAGCGGCGGCTGCCGACGAGCCAGGAGGTGGTGAATCGTTGGCCGAAGAAGTGACACGTGTCACTCTACCGTGCTTCTTGCCACTGTGATCGAATAGACGGCCAGCTGCTAGTCTGCTCCTGCTGCTGCCAGTCCCTTTCTGCAATCTCCTCCCTTCTCCGTCTCGATTCAAATCGTCTACATTCATAGAATCTGGAAGATGGACTCGGGCGACTTGTAGGATGCCACTGCCCCCTCGCGCTGTGCAATGGACACGTGGCTCCACGTGCATAGCTTCGAGCAATGCCAAGGATATGGATATCCTCCTGTACAAGACCTGACCTCCCCCAACCAATGCTTTGTCCCCTCCATTCTGAAGACGAAGTCTTGTTGCCGCAGAGCTAGCACCAACACTACTGCTATTGCTCCTGCACCTGCTCCCGGTGCTGGAGGTGGACGTGGAGGTGGAGGTGGTTGTGTGAGGGAGAGAAACAGCACACGAACAACAGCGAGCACTCCTCAGCGGATCCCATACCGCCACCGCCATCGCTCTTCACCACCACTAGCTATCCACTCGCAACACTCAATGCCCTTTCCCCCCACCTTTCCCCCCCCCTTCCCCCCTCTTCCCCTCTTCCCCCCGCCTCCCCAACTCACTCCCTCACCTCCCCCCCCAACCCCCTCCTCCCCCCTCTTCCAATTTTTTTACTCCCTTTCCTGGTCACAAACATCCTTTTATTACCCACCCTGCCCCCCTTGGTACCCACTTGGTACTCAGTTGGTACCCAGTTGGTATCACCGTGCACTGTTCAAGTCCAGACCCGAGTTCGAATCCAGATGGAAGTAGATGACCCCGAGTTCTAATCCAGATGGAAGGAAGCAAATGACCGAAATCCATACGGCCACTCGTTCCGTGATTCACAACGCATATACGTATATATGTTGATATCTTCACTAAGATTTTTTTTCAAACTATATCAACCTGCATCGGTAGGAAGTACTCGTCCAGATGCTCACCGCGCGCTGTGTTCGTGTCCCACATCTGTGTCCGTTTCACACTTCGTGCCGGCAGGCGCGGCACAGCTTCTAAGGCCGGCAGGGCGGGCCGGTCCTTCGGGACATCCGTGAAAATTGGAACGATACAGAGAAGGGTAAATTAGCAAATGGCCCCCGCGCAAGGATGACACGAGAAATGGTGGTCCAAATTCGAAAGAAGGGGGGAAAAAACGGCAGGTCGAGAGATGGCAGGGTGTCTCAGAGAGGAGTTGGGTCTTGGGGCCTCGCTCCACTACTCAAGACATGCACAAAAGACAAAAGATATGGTGATGCATCTGGCCGTGTTCTACCGGCAGATTCGTTCCCATTTTGCACATTCCGGGACTACTACCGGTAGTAGTAGAGCGAGGCCCTTTGATTCGGTTAAAATCCAGCACTGTCCCCAAACACTTCCCCCCCCCCCCAGAGACTCTTGTGTGCAAGGGTGTTTATTTGTTTTGTTTTTTTTTGGAGTGCAAGGATGTTTTCGTTTGACGTGGATACTCCCACTAAGACGTTCTTGGATGCATCTGACCCGAATGGCAGCCTCAGCTGGATGCACCTGACCGTAATAACGTCCCGAGCTTGGTCGAAAAGGGCCTACAGTAGTGTGTGAGTGTGCCCACCTGAGACCTGTCTTCCTTGTGTGTTGCAGCAGTGGACCTTGTTTCCAGCCACTGCTGCTCCTCACCCATCACAGTCACAGGGGAACAATATCCAAATCTATCCAAAGACTCTGGGCTGCTCTTGTCGACGTAGTCACTTCAGTATATTCTTCCGTTTGTTTTCGGAATCAAACCGTTTGTTTTCGCTAATCAACTTCAGTTTTTTCTTTCTTTTTTTTTCAGTTCAGAGAGAAACAGCCCGGGTCAGTGCTAGAGGTGCTGATAATACCAGGCAGGCACCCCTACTGTCTTCCCCCGAACATAACCCACCCTGAAAATGAGCCTATACAAGGTATGTTTCCGGCCCGATACAGGCAAAATGGGGGTGCGTTGTGTTCGGGGGAAGAGGGTAGCACTCCGGTGGAGGCTCCATCTGTTGGTGGGGAGCAGCACCTGCTGGAAAGAATGGATTCATGCTAATGACATCCTGGCGCCAGGGGCCATTGTTCCAATCAATTTTAATGGATGTCCCCAAGGACTCAACTTCAGGATTGGAACTGCCAGAGTGAGTGAAGGTCGTTCCCAAACATAATGGTGCTAGACAAGAGAAGAGAAGAGAAGAAGAGGACACCGCCCCAGACATGTGGCTTCATGGTACACCACCCATGTACTGTTAATAAGCAGACCTGAGCTGGATCCGGAGCTCGAATCCGGATAGAAGAAACTCTGAATGAACTCTGAATTACCTGGGGCAAGTGGTCCTTTCTATATAGAAATTGAAGAAGAGACCTCCAGCAAGGGCTACATGGCTGTGGCCCTCTTTCTAAGGTGCAAAATGAGAAGGAATCTTCTGCTAGAACATGAGAAGATACACCGCCATAGTTTTTGCCTTTTGCACCTGTGGTGAGTAGTGGAGCCAGGCCCTATGGCTTGTGGCTTACATCCTGACGTGGGCTCCACAGCCAAAACAAAGGCCCAGGCCCTATGACTTGCGTTCTATTTTTTTTTAGGGGCAACTTCGGCGCAGTCACGAAAACAGTTTGTAATTGCACTTCAGGCAATCCCGCGAATACAACACACCCCCACGCGACCCCACCGGACCCGAAACGTAGGTCACATACATTCAGCATTACCGGCCCTTTTGCCTCAACTGCAATTACGAACTCAATCCCTGACTGCGCCGTAGTTTTCTCTTTTTTTTTTCTTTTTTTTTTTTCTTTTTTTTTTTTTTTTTTTTTTTTTTTTTTTTTTTTTTTTTTTTTTTTTTTCTATGACTTGCGTTCTACATCCTTACGTGGGCTATTTTCCTTGAAGGAAATCAGGGCTCCACAGCCAAAACAGAGGCCCTATGGCTTGTGTTCTACATCCTTACGTGGGCTATTTTCCTCGAAGGAAATCAGGGATCCACAGCTGCAGCGCCCTTGTTGGAGGAGAGGGACGTGTCAAGCGGATAGCCATTGGGTTGGGTCCTGACTGAAACTGTGATCCGTAAACTAAACTCATGAAACACCCTACTCTTTGTGCCCATTATGTTTTTGGGGGGCCTGACTCAAGCAGCTATATTAGCAAGGGATGCTCGTATCACCCTCGCTAATATAGTCTGTTCATGTCTATTCTTTAAAATAAAATTGAAAAAAAAGAAAAGAAAAAAAAAGGGGGGGGTCTGGTGCAGCAGTGGCCAAACTCGGCCATCAGGTCCCTTTATTCAGCCCCCCTGAGATGATGGCACTGGCGCAGCTAGACTTTCGAAAGAGTCACGTAATCCACACCCGTGGGCTGAGGATCCTTCCTCACAAAACATTACTGGAAAAGCACAGTACTTAGAAAGAACAATACTTTGCTCTTGAGACCGAGGTCGCCGGTTTGAGTCCGTGCTTGCACAGAGGAGGGCTGAGGCCCAGAGGTACAGATCGAATAGCATTGGAAAGCTCCCATGAACTGGTGGGCAGTTGAAGTCCCGCATAAGTGAGCGGGTTATTACTACCAATGGGGGTCATGTGCTACTTGGAGCGAAGTGTGTGAGCACAACAATCAGGGGTCAGGGTAGGCCCGGCAAGCAGGTGTCCGATATCCGTTCGGGCCCCGCCAGTACCCTCTAGGCGTGGCCATTTCAGAAATCCAAACGGCTTGATTGGACCTCCGATACCGGGGTTGTCCGATCGGGCAACTCTCGGTTTTGCAAGGGGGAAAAAGTTGGGAAAGGAAAGAAAAAAAAAGGGGTAACTTCAGTAGAGTCACAAAAAGGAGTTATAACTGCACTATGGGGCAAGAAACAGTTTGCAATTGCAGTTCAGGTAGAAAGACGAAGTAGAAAAGTACCCCGAGCGAATAAGCACAGAGAAAAAGATGGCGGTCAGCCGTAAAGCATTGTGCCGTAAAATGAAGTACGCTGGCAATATCCCGACAGCTGTTTCGGTCGGCTGCCAGTAAGCTGGCTCTCCTCAGGGGTCGCGCTTGGTGTAACAAGGAAGAAAGAATGGAACTAGTTATACTACTAGGACTGGC